AAGTTCTCCCTTGCTGCGTGCCTTTTTTCGTGGGAGCGACAATGAGTGAACAAGGCCACTCCACCCTTTGAGTATCCTGGCCTGGAAATTAGTTATGACCAGGGCAGAATTCCAAGGGAAAGCGCATGTTTTTTAGAGTCTCTCTTTTCACCCCCACCCCCCTCCACCGAACGTGGGGTATCTAGGTAAACCTCTTCTCCCTGGTGTCCAGGGATAGGATGCGTGGGAATGGTTCAAAGCTGCGCCAGGGGAGGTTGAGACTGGACATTAGGAAGCATTGGTTTACCGAGAGGGTGGTCTAACACTGGAACAGGCTTCCGAGAGAGGTGGTCAATTCCCGAGCCTGTTGGTTTTTAAGAGGCATTTGGACAATGCCCTTAATAACATGCTTTAACTTTGATCAGCCCTGAAGTGATCAGGCAGTGGGACTAGGTGATCACTGTAGGTCCCTTCCAAGTGAAATTGTCCTGTCCTATCCTTGCAACAGATAGTTCTGGCCCTCTTGTACATGTTCTGTCCTCTCATTGCAGCCGTATTTTGGGAAGGGCTGGTAGGGATGTGGTGGCTGGCCAAGGAGGCGGGAGATGACCCCTGGAAGGGCACAGCAGGTCTGGCAGAGCTCTGCTCCCCTGGCCCTCTGCTTGCTGCACAGACCCAGGGCGTGGGGTGGCCCACACTTGGAAGTGTTGCAGCCCTGGTTTATGAAGTGTCTGTGTCAGATACACAAGCTGGTTTTTTTTAAAGGTCTTTTTCACGGATTTCTGTGCCAACACAGTCATCTGATGGTTCAGATCGGTGCCTTGTGGCACCTAACTCCCATTGCAATTTTTCATTTCTGTGATGGCCATGAAAAACTCGACAAGAACTAGTTCTCACAGGCACTATGCTAATACTAATATTGACTCTAGCCTAATTTTAAAGGAGTTGTTATTTTTTGTCACACTCAGCTGAACCACTCAGTTTAGGTAGTAGACTCCAAACATGGATGTTTTGTATTGGTTTAGGCCAAATTTGGAACAATGTAGTTTGGAAAGCATTGGGTTTTTTCTTGGACTATGTCGCAGCAGATAGACTCCAAGCTTATTTTAAAACTCGCCATGATAAAGTACACAGTGATATGGCTCAGATACCTAAGAAAAAAGAATTTTACAAGTGGGTCTAGTGAACCCAAGTCCAGCTTTTCCACACATACGATGCGCAGAGGTTGATAGTTTTGTAGTGCAAAATCGCATCATAATGAAGGGTTAATCCAGCAGTGGTGGAACTGAATGCAGTCCTGTGGATGGAGGTCAGGGAGCTTCTGGCCTGGCCATTTACAAGATAATGAACTGTGCCTCCAGTGATACCAAGCCCGTTTCCATTTAAAACCTGGTTGTAGGTGTGATCTATTTGTCTTCACTGGAAGGCTTTACAAGAGTAGGCTACTTGTGTGACTAAATATTTGCAGGGCTGGGCCTTGAGCTTGTGCAGTGCAATGCAAATTCAAAGTGCTGTAAATGTTTTTAGCAGTGGAATTTTCCACTTCAGAGCGTAAGGAAAGCAGGGAGAGTAAAAGGGAGATAACATTACTAAATCATAAGATTATAGCCAATGTAGTACGTGTCAGAACAGCAGGTATATGTGGATATGTATACGCACATATAAAATAAATGGAGATATCTGTGGACCTCTGTGGCTATACCGACAGATATGGGTAGATCTACACACGTGCGTGTTTCTAAATAATACTTTACATTTTTTCTATTAATTAATTTCCATGTTTAGTAACAGTGCCAGGTATGAGATTCTCGTGCCTTCTCCCTCTTCGGGAGTTTAGTGCTAATCGTAATAATGCATTTATAAATAAAAGTCTAGGCAGAGCTGTGAATTTAGAGTTTAATATTTGAATTACCCGCTGCTTGCTCTCGGTTGCAGTATCCAGCAGCGGAGGAAATCCTGCCTCACCGCTGGCAGCACGCAGTTTTGGTCCCACTCTTAAAAGGTTCTGCGTGGTGCTGGGGACGTCCTTTTCCAGTCAAGCTCAGCACTTGGCAGGGCTTGGTTGCTAGATTTCAATGAGGAAAATCCATTCGCTTCTCACACCTCATCTCTGTGTATCCTGCAGCAGGAAGGCTGACGCTGGAACATGTATCTCCCCGGAAAAAGGATGGGTTCCCTGAAACTTAGTTCAGGCCTTTCAGGGAACCCATCCTTTTTCCGGGGAGATGCATGTTGCAGGTTCGCAGATGCTTTTGGGCTGAGTTGGTGTGGCAATATATAAAAATGTTTTAATGTCTATATATGTATTAAACCATGTTAAAATATAGCTACAAATATTACGTGTGCATATTATATACAGAAACATACAAACATATATATGTCATATACACACAAGCATATACGTGTATCTGCTTGTGTGTGTATGTGTATATATAAATATATGTATATGCCATCAGCAATGAAGGGAAATATTGAAAACCCAAGGGATGACTAGATCTTAGAGTGACGGAAACGTCTCGGATCATGCGTTTGGTACATCATATCTGTACCGGGCAGTGCTGCGTGTTCCTGCTCTTGCAGGGACTGTCCCAGCACTCAGGAATGAAAGGTGAATCCAAGGATTGGTTGCTTAAAAAAAAATTGCATTGACTTTGATAGGAATAACCTGGCAAGAGCTTCTAAAATGTGCTGTTCTGGTTTTGACGTGTAGCAGCTCAAACAAATGGCTCATCAAATGGCTTGCAATGGCAGTGGGAGCTTTTCATTTCCTCTGGGCACCAACTCACTACCAAACACAGTCTTGACATGACCAGTTTTGATTAAGTAACCCCGTGTCCGTGTATTTTTGAAGTTAAAGGCTGTGGCAAGTGCTGGCTACTGTTGCTCTTTATAAAAGTGAGATTTTTTTGACTGTGCTTTCCTGTTGTGGGCAGCAGTTGGGCCTTACCGTAGTCAGCTTGGGCAAGTCCAAATTAAGAGAGAAGAGAATTAGGTTTCTAGAAAGTACTTCTGGCGTAATGCAGTCGAGTGTGTCACTTCTTACATTACAGCTGCAAATAGTGTTCTCGAAGTTCCGATCCTGGAGTCAGGGAAATCTCTTGTTCATTAAAGAGAAAAGGGGCAAATTTCCAGCTTTGGTGGTGGTAGAGAAAATCTAAAGACTGTGAACATTGAGGGCTAAAAGCTAGCAAAGCAAATAAAACCATTGTGTTGTGATTTTTTTTTTTTTTTTTTGGTTTAGGGAAATTGCATGATCTGTCACAGGGGAATTTTGCCCTCCAGGAGCCAGGGCAGCGATTCTGCCGCGGCCCGGCAGAGCCGAGCCAGCAGAGCCCCGGCCAGGGAAGGTGGCTGGTCCTACCGTTTCTGACTGAGCAACCTCTATAAATGAAATGTAACACTTTGGCGGAGGTTCTGGCTTGACATTTATTTTTCTGAAAATCCAGCTAGGGTGCCGACGCTAATGCAGGAGGGCCCGTTGTTTGCACAGACTTACCCCGCTGATGACAGCTTAATAAGCTCCTTTATTTTGTGTTTTTATTCAGTAAGCTTGTCAGCTTTTGTGTAGGGGCTGACCTCTGCTTTCGCCCTCTCCCCCCCGCCCCAGCCCCTCTGAAAGGGGCACCTCTGTCCCCGTAATTTGTAGTAAAAGGGAATTATAAAGGGAGGTGAACTGACCGGCTGTAGGGACGTGGGCTCCTGCAAAGCCATATAGCTTCTGTGGGGGCTGACCTCCTATGCCCAGCGTGCCTAAAAACCTCTGAAGTCCGTGGGATTTCTGGGTGCGTAATGACTGACGCGGCACCGAGCCTTGATGACTGAGAAAATCCAAACAGAGAGGGGAGGATTCGGTAAACGGGGCTACCCAAAATGAATTACGGTGGGCGATGTGAGAACAGGTCAACTTTTCATACCTGGTATACGTTTTTCTAAACAGCCAGAAAGGCATCCCAGCATCAGGACTGTTTGCGACAAGACTCTACACAAAAACATATTGGGGTGGCATTGAAAAGCAGTGGCTCGAGATACCAGAAAGATGTGGGCTTGTATTTCTTCCCATTCATTTAATCGGAACCATGCTGAGAAGGCGTATAAAACCCCTCGCTCTTGAATATATCTAAGGCGTAGCTTTGCAACGCCAAGAATGATGTCCAACCTAATAGAGTTTCAGATAGAAGAGATATTTTGGCTCATCTTTTGCTTCCAGCTATATTCATTTTCCCTGTGTGGTTATTTTTCTTCTTATTGGATGCATCCAGCTATCTGTTTCTTACTTCACCGTCTGGGAATACAAACCATTTTGTCTCATTTCAGACCTTAAAATGGATTGGACAAAAACAAAAGGAAAGAAAAGAAAAAGTGTTTTGGGTAGTACCTTGTTTCTGTGTCTTAATAAGTCAGCTTCTTAAGCAAAAGGCCTAAGAATTACTGTCTTGGAATATTTTGCATATATATATTTTTTTTTTTTTTTTCTGTGTTTTGTAACATCTGTATGCTGGGTGGTGGTTCATCGGGAGGGGATGAATGTAACCATTTTAGATGCTTAACTGGCTGTTGGGACTTGCCCAGTTTGTAATCATGGTAATTGCACATACAAATATGGCCATGTAATTACATGTGCATTTTTGCATTTCATTTCAGGAGTTCGTTTAGAAAAGTATAAACGCGGCCCAATAAATCCTTTATATCTCAGACTTCTGTGCTTTTATAACTCTATATAATTATGTAATTAACACTGCATCTGGAGAGGTTTCACTTACGTAAAAGCAATAAAGAGCTCAGGTTAGATTATATATTTTCTGAGTTGGACCTACACTAACTTGCTCAGTGCTGTGTTTTTCAGCTTGTAAGATTGATTAAGTTCAGCAGTACCTGTACAAGAAAAATTTTCTGTGAGAATAAAGAGCTATTTAATACAAAACCAAAACTGGATCAGGTCATTTAAGCTTCCACAATGACTGAAGTGATTCAATGGGTATTAATGTAGCAAAATACACACTGAATACTCCGATACTTGGACAATGAAGACTTTTGCCAAGGTACAAATTGGATACTAAAATGAAAGAATTACTTGCGAGCAAAGTTCCAGCTCTCTGAGAACAAATCTAAATCATAATTATTACTATTGGCATTCATGGATTGAGATAAGAGAGACACAAATAGAGACTGTAATTCATTTCTACTTCTGTGCTCGTGTGAACGTAAATAGATAAGACGACTAATTTCTCAATATTTTGTGCATACAGAAATGTATGTATTATGTTTTTATAATCAAAGAAATGTGTAATTGTTGTTTGTCTTCCGTATTTCTATTCCTGGCATGGTTTTCAGAAATATCGAGATTGTCTGATGAAGATCGGTATCTTTTTTTGTATTCAGTGTTACTGTGAACCAACAGTTACCGCGATGCTGTCATTTCCCAGTCTGGGTTGCTTGCTGATTTCCCTTAGGGCTCTTCCCCCAGCGGATGGTATTACCGTGCTAGAGCCAAGCGCTGAGCTCTGCCGATGATACAGAAACAGATGTTAGATTTCGACACTCGGAAGTGAGGGGTTTTGAACCTGCCGAGCTTCATCCTGCCTTCTTAGTCTGGCCCCACACCAGAGAGACGTGAAATATCTAGTAAGAACTGCAGAATCCCGCTTGTCTCTGAGAAAAGATATATATGGTATTAAATATTTTCATTTAATTTCATTTCTTGGTAGTTCAGAAGGCTTAAAGGGAATTGCGCTGATGGGATCCGCTATGATAGCTTGCAGCACATGAAGATGTAACTCCTGTCAATAAGCTGCACAAAAATGGTGTTGCAGATGATCAGGAACAAACCCAATGGCTCTAGATTAAGAAAAGATTGCTGTGGCAATCTTTGTCGCGGTTGTGGCAGTAAAAAGAAAGGTCCCTTTTCCTCTTTCAACATCCGTATCGGCACCTAACGCAAATTCTCCGTTGTGCGTCGATGCCAAAATCTTTTCAGCATGTTTTAAAATAAAATCTCCTAGCTCTTTTTTTTGTTTAGGTTAATGGCCGTGTTTAAGCAGCTGTTTTGAAATGCAGTGCCATTTTTACACCAAAAAGAAAAACTGTTTACTTCTTTTACATTTTTTGGCACCCTTTTTTTCCTTTAAATGTCGACAGCTATAGTCAGAGCTAGCAGGACGGTTCATAACAAATCCCGCATTTGCTGACTTTAGCCTGGTCTTTGCTTTTCTGCCTGGGAGGGTCACAAGCCGTAAGAATGTGCTGGATGCTGGAGTCCGCTCGCCGAGGCCGTGTTCAGCCTCACCCCGCTCCCTCCGGCCATGGCACTCGCTAGGCTGGCTCCCTGCTTTCCTGGTGATTTGGGGTCCGTCCCCGTTCTGGTCTGCACGAGCCTGGCTTCTTCTGCAGGGTCACATTGGAGTCCCCTCGGCTCAGAGGAGACCCCCGTCATCTTCCCTGAGCTTTTTTAAAACTATAAGAGGTTTGAAAAGGCAAATTACTCAGGGTAAGGCAGTAGAGGAATAGCAGCAGGGCAATTTTTAATGCTGCATTTCACACAGACCCTTTTGCTGTGTGGTTTATTTGACGGGGGGCAGAGATTACATTTAATTTTATTTCATGTGCAGGCTGTTCTGGCTGGAAAGTTGCAGTCAGATCCTTATCAGGCTCATTTAACTGCCTCTCTGCCAGGGCTTGGCAGGGATTTTTTTTTAAAGCCTGCGCCCCAGCCCTGTCAGACATCGTCCCACTCCATATAAAGCAAGACATCTCTTCTCCACAGTCTTTAAATATTCTTCTCGTGCAATTATTTGTGCAAGTGAAAATTAATCATTCAAATGTCCTTGGAAAGCAAATACAAGAAGGAGCTGGAGCATGGCCGAAATTGCCATTTAAATGCTTTTAAATTGAAGAAGCTACTGGCAGATAATATTTTGAAGTATTGGCCGTTCTTTAACGATACTGCACACGAAAGTCCATCAAGTATAGCGAGAGGCAGTTTCTGGCTGGGAAAAGATAAGTTTTGGCATTTCAATTGCTTTTCAAGCTACCGTGTCATTGAAATACACGTTGCCACTCAATGTATAAACAGTAGTCCTGTGGGAAATGTCTTTAAAAGCTATTTTGCGATGTCTTTTAAGCAGAAAATCAATCTTATTTAGCCAAGTATTGCATAGTCTAAGCTACTTTTCCTCAGATAGAATTCTGTTTCTGCATTTGTGGATTTTTTTTTTTTCTTCTCTCTCAAGTATTCATTGGTGTAAGATCCTGCCAAGACAATGTGTAGAGCTCAGAGCCTTGTAAGAAATGCTCACTTTGCACCTCGTCCACGGAGAAATGGAAAAGCATGCCAAGATACGTCCCACTGATAGTGCCTGGTTGTGATTTTTTTCAGCTCTATGGCTATTGTTACCAGGATAGCAATGACATCCCAGACACGCTGACGACCATCACTGAACTAGGCTCGCCGTTAGAGATGATTCAGCTCCTACAGACTTCCTGGGAAGACAGATTTCGAGTGAGTAACAACTATTTTAAAAAGGCTTTTAAAAGAGCGATGAATACAAAGTAACATCAAGCACAAAGCAGGGGTTATGTACTATGCAGTGCAATTCACATTTATTAAACATTTCTTTGCTTATGATTACATCTTGGTTTAGAAACAACATTTAGCACTCCCTTTCTGCAGCGTTTAAGCTGTTGTGCTATTTTGTCTGTCGATGTTATCTAATTGTAGCCGGTTATTGCTTTTTACATGGTTTCTTCAGACATTTCTTACTTGTTAAAGCTCAAGGCCTGGGATTTTTGGCGTTGAGCATTGTGCTCCCCAGCTGGGATTTAAACAACAGAAGGATGTTACATTTCTCTCCTGATCATTATCATAGGTTGGTTTTATCATTGTTTTCTACTGCTTCCTGCTCTGTTCATCTTTTACTGGGGGAAGCGTGAAATAAATGTACAAAAACCTCAAACCCGGGTTGCCCACTGCCTTGGCAGTTTACCAGGAGCACCAAGGTCCCACTTAATTTGTCCAAAATGAAGCCAGGCTGCAGCAATGCTTTGATCAAGACAGTGCTGTCTCACTCAGTGTATACTGGGATGTGCCGTCGGCGGAGGTTGACTCCCTAGGACGTTGCAAGGCAGCAGCAGTCTTCCTCTAAACCACTTGGGATCGCATGGCTGCAGCTGTGCCAGCAAACTAACCGTGTGCCTGCCTGATTTCGGAGATGAGCCGGCAAGGTGCAGCCCGTGCCTGTACTATGGAGTTCTTGGCCTTGCTGAAGGCTGGGTGGCTGCATGTGGGATGCCTGTCAGAAATGGTCCCCGGGCTGCCCTGCCTTATGGATCGCATCCGGGGGCTGGGTGGGAGAGCAGCCTTGGTCCTGGGCAGGCCCGGGCCAGAGACTGTGCTAGCAAGCGCGCGCGTGGGATTAAGTGTCTGTGCCCAGGAATGTTCCAGAGTTTATTTTACTAATATAGATGGAGCAAGTGCGCTAAGCTTCAGCTCCCTTTTCCTGAAAGAAGTACAGTCTTAATAAGTGGTAGAGGTACTCATCACGGCTCCCGAAATACGGGACCTGTCTTCAGCTCGTCTGATCCAGGGAATGCAAATACTGGACTGTGACGGCAACCACGTACAAAGTAAATACCAAGAGATACGTTAGATTATGGGTAATTGATGTGTTAGATTATGGGTAGGCAGGGAAGTTTCCTTCCAGCATGGATATTTCTGAGTGAGCGATCGCAGAGGGAGATGAAGGAGAATGAGATGAAGGGGCTGAGCTGATTCACAGAGGTGGAATTGCAGATGAAACAGCCCTGTGACCTCCGTAATGACAGCTTAGATAACGTTGTGCTTTTTAGCTTGGCTAGGATGCAACGAATGCAGAGGAGGAGAAAATAAAACCGTATCTTCTTGATACGTGGGACTTGTTTGCGGTCCCGTCCTGAAAAGGGCTGCACAAATATTTGACCTTATTCCTACAAATAATTTCCTTGTGTCGAAGGACTGGGCAGTAAGCTAGCTCCCCAGATCAGCGCCTCTGTGCTCAGCACGGAGCCAAAGCCCTCGTCTGGGTGCTTAAAGCTTGTCGTGTGGGGGCACTTGCGGCCCCAGCCCGGCAGCAGGTACACTGGGCAGCAGCCCCTCGGGGCTCAGCCTGCTCGCAGAGGCTGCCAGTCCAGGGGCTTTTTGGCGCCAGAGAAAAGGCGATAATTTCAGACGACAACCTTTTTATTCAAGCTAAATTCTGGGTTGATTGGCAATTGAAGGTATGCGTACCCTAGGTTGGTTTGGGCGGGATGTGCTCTTCATATACATCGTATGGCGGGATGGCACATACATATGAACCCTGTGTCTTGCCAGAGGGAGGAAAGGGTGGTCAAGTCCGGCGTCCCATGACCAGGCCTGGCTTCATCTACACCTACAGGCATCTCCATATGAACTGTGGTATCCTGTAAGTAGGGCAAAAATGTTCTAGTCTGGCCCAGGAGCAGAATGATTATAGAAGTGTGAGATAGTCCTCATGTCCCACAGGGGGTATCCTGCTCTGTGAGGGATAATCTCAGACACACTCAGCTTTCTTATGAAGGACTAATTTAGGTCCACCCCTGACTATACTGTTTGTGCCCCAAGACTGCATTTGGGTTTGAGTACCTCAATGCACGTGGCCTCAACAGTGTATTTTAACAGAAAACAAAGATTATATATAAACAATAAAAAAGCTTGCTAGACTGAATAAGGCCTGTTATTAATTTAATACATAGAATAAAAATTCCAGTACTTAACTGCACTCACATTAGTGCTATGTTTGCATTCAGAACGTTACCTTGTGGACTCTGAAGGAGTGCATGAGTGGAAAACAGTGCTTTGGTAAGGGGGCTGAGTTCAACTTTCATCGAGTCTGCTGTTCCGTGTTAGTTACTCAGGTGTCTAAGGTGCAATTGAAAAGTGCAGCATCAGCACAGAGCTCTCACCCCAGCCTCAGAGTGGCACGTGAGGGTCCACCAAGGTAGACCTACCATGGTAGATGGATATATATGCCTACCTTGAGGCACAGTGAAGAGTTACGGAGGAGCTGTGGAGCTCCTTCTGCTGGGAATTTGCTTCCTTCTCCCCTGGAAAAGGGCAAACGTAAGAGCAATCAGTGGAAAAAAAATATAAGAGCAGTCAAAAGGCGGGATCAGTATGGAGGCAATACAGACGCCGTCTGCAGTTGGAGCTCCAGACCTGGAGTTTGTAAAAGAGCAGAATCAGGCTGCATGGTCAAGGCCTGTGCGTAATGTGTTATTAAAAGTTAATGCTTTTATTTCTATTAAAAGTAAGAATGGCAACAATGAGCCCTGCTTCAAGAATAGTGTGGGAAAGCTCTGGTAAAGAAGCTTATTTTTGTTTCAAGCCTCTAAGGGTTTTACAATCAACTAGGTTAATCCTTTGAAAAATACCTTGGTTGCAACATTCAGTTTGGAGGATAAGTTATAATGCTTATGTTAAGTCATATGTTTATGAACATATCTTCAGCTAAAGTGGTTTCATTTATATGCTGCGTACTGAGAAAATAACGCAAGGTACCCACGTTTTTGCATTTCAGATATGTCTCAGCTTAGTTCGGCTTCTGCATTATTTGGCTCATTCTCCTCTTGGCTCCGTGACATTACTGGATTTTCGCCCTCGGCAGTTTGTGATCGTGGATGGGGAACTGAAGGTGACAGATCTGGATGACGCCAGCATCGAGGAGAGCTCTTGCACCAGTAACAGTGACTGCTTTATGGAATTCCCCGCGAGGAACTTCACCCTGCCCTGTTCTGTTGAGGGACGGTGTCAGAGCATGAACGAAAAGAGGAATCTCTACAACGCCTACAGGTACGTGATCGGGTAAGGTGAAAGAGAATTAAGAGCGGGCCAAAAGTCTCCAGCATCCTCTATAGTGACTCACATCGGCGAGCGCGTATTGTTTTAGAACCATTGCTCAAGAGTAAGTGAAGCCAGGAAGAATTGTGTCGTTTGTGAAAATAGGTAGCATTTATAACTTTGGAAATGTTTTGCATACTTTGAGTGTGACTCGCCACTTTTAGTCTGATTTTTGCATTGGTTTCATTCCACTGAATTCTTCACACAAGCAGAGATTTTCACAGGAGTGAAACAGAGATGCCTGCGGAGGCGGGGGCCCGTTAGCTCTGTGGTGAGATGATTCAGGCAGCTCTGCTTCGCTGTGAGTTAAGAGGGGTCATCTTGTGTCCTCCACCACGGCTGAGGAAGGGGCTGGCTTCAGAGGCAGACTTAGAGCTCGGCTCTCACCCCACTCTCCGCTCGATGCTGCCTGCCGCACCGGAGCCTGCCTCGCTTGGCTGATAACAGTCCCCGGTGCAACCATGGGGCCGCCGAGACCCTCAATTGCTGATGATCTGGGGTGTAATCCCAAACCTTTGAAAGCAAG